CAGGGCTCTTCCGTCGTGCGGGCGATGGCGCCGCGGGCCAGGTTTGGGATGGGAGGCCGGCCGTGTGGGTCAGCTACAGTATGAGATCCTAGAACAAATGCTACCGTGGTTTCCGTCAGTGCCACCAAAGAAAGGAGATTGAAGTACTTCAGTCCTTGCACCTGCTCCGAAATGTAACAATATGCATAGTCCTTGTGTTTGTATTTGCATTGTACTAAAGTGTTTTTAGAGTTGTTCTGTGGGCCTGCATCAGGTGCTCTGAGCTCTGAACTGTTAATTGACTAAATATATGGAGCTAACGCGTTCGGCAAATCAATACAGTTAATATATTTTAAAAAGAAAAATGGGTGCAGGGTGTACAAATTAATGTGTGAATGTGTGTGTGTGTGTGTGTGTGTGTGCGCGCGCGGACACCATACAACACTATCCAAGAAATTTGAAATAATGAATGCCCCCGGGAGGGATTGGGAGTAAAAAAGGCCAGGAGGTTTCACTCTCTGCAGCTTTTGCAGATGGAACATTTTACAGCGAAATGTTCTATTTCCACGCTGTCCAGTTCCATGGCCAATAGCAACATATGGCTGTTGCCTATTGAAATATGGTTAGTGCAGCCAAGGATCTGATTTTTTTTTTTTTACTTTATCAGTTTTATTTAACTCAAATAATCGTAACTACCATAGTTATGGACTGCACAAGCATACTTTTGGATTTATTTGGTGAAAACATTATCTTTAAAAGTCAAAATAGAATATGTTGTATTTGTAATAACATGCAGTGAGTCGTACCTTCAACAAATATATTATCTCGGTATTGTAGCCCGTAGAAAATAAATAATAATCTTTAACACATTGGCCTTATTATGTGCCAAGGATTGCTCTAAGTGTTTTTCACTTATTAGCTCCCTTATCCTCACAACCACCTCTGGAAATAGTCACCATTATTGATCACGGTTTTATATAGGAAGTATGATTGAGTCGGTAGCCCAGGTAAGCGGTAAACTTGCTGTGATGCTGTAATAGGACTTAATTCAACCAATTGATTTAGTTAACCCAGCACTACATCTCATATAAGCAGTCAGACAAATCACAAAAATCTCTGAAAATTTCAAGACAGTATAGAGCACAATGGATATTGGAGAAAATCAAACTATAAAAATATACTATAATTAAAATCTCAATCAGCTCAAAATTTTAAAATCTGTGATAAGCAGAATAAATTTAGTTAATAAATGGAAAAAAAATTTATTTATGGGTAATTATTTGCCTAAAGCTTTTGTCCAATGTCCTGTATGTCTAATCAACCCAGACACATACACATACACACATTGACAACATGGATGGAACACAGGACCTTGAAACTGAGCTACATCCCCAGCCTTTAAAAAAAATTTTTTTTTAAATTTTGAGACAGGTCTTGATAAGTTTCTAAGTTACCTAGACTGGGTTACCCAGTCTCCCAGACTCTGGGATTATAGGAGTGCACCACACACCTAACGTCTAAACTCTTCTGCTACCACTCTTCTTGTCCCATTACTTGAAGTAGTTCATTCTCACTACTTTCCATCCCAAAGGTTTTTTTTCTACACTCCAGATAATCAGCTATCTAGGCATCTCTAAATCCTCCAGATTTCTTTAAATGTCCTTCAGTAATATTTTAGCATCATGTTATAACCACTGATGCCAGAAGTGTAGTCAGCTCTATCAAAGACCTGTTCCTTTTGTTGCTGGTAATTCCTGAGGACTCACTGTATACACCTGCGTGACCTCAGTAAGATGGGTAAACATAAAAAAGACACTTTTAAATTCACTGTCCTGTCCCTTAATTTCCCATGAACATAGATTGTATTTGTAATATACCTTCTTTGGAGCTTTGATAGTAACTAGATGTAATTGACATTTTTTCTAAAAAACAAAAAAACAGTTGACTGAATATTGTGAATGTTACCAGAATCAAAGTAAGGAAGAAGAGCGGGGAGGGGAGGGGTTTATAAGAAAGAGAGGTTGGGCTGGTAGTGTAGCTCAGTGATAGAGCACTTCCCTCACATGCACAAGGCCCTGAGTTGGGTCCCCAGCACCACAAAAAAGAATTTTTAAAAGCTCAATATTTAATGAGGATCCCTTACAAGGTCACCTAGATTTCTAGTCTTGATTCCCAGTTTTTATTAGATAACCATTCTATTTTTCTTATACACCCACTTAATTCAGGATAAGTTGATGAGGTCATAAGTTCCTTGTACTCCAATCTACTAACTCCTTATCCTCTTTCAAGACCCAAAAGTGACCAAAACTATCATTTTGAGATCTCCTGGTCACTCCTCCATATTTATTCTTGATGACTTTATATATCTGACTTAAAGGCTTTTTCTTCATCTCAAATTCTGCCATTGTCATTTTTTAAAAAACAGGTTGGGGATTGAACCCAGGTCACTGTACATGCTAGGCAAGGGCTCTACTGCTGAGCTACAACTCCAGTGCTCCCCCTGTTGTCATTCTGACCTCTCAATTATTTATCTCATGTGTAATATAACCTTTTCTTCCACCTACTTCAGCCAGCCATTACCATGGTCGCATTCTAGATCTTGTCTCTAGTGGCGCAGTAACCCACTTTCCCACCACAGCCTCCAGCTTTCCTGGATCCCCTGTGAAAATACTTCTCTTTGAGATCACTGAGATGCCAGTCCATTCAACCACCATGTTCAACATGTCAGAGTCCCTTAGACTTCACTTCCCATCTTTTCATCGCAGACTCCACAGCTTAATATTATAGTCACTCCCTTGAAAATATTTTCAACTCCTTGCTACTCAGGCATAAAGAATGAGAAACTTGAGACATTTATAGCTAAGTGGATGCACACTGAGGCCATACTCTTAAGTGAAATAAATATGGCACACACGTGTAAACACCGACTAGTTTCTCTGGTGTGAAAAACTAAAAGTGTAAATAAAGATAGAATGTATAACTGATACTATGAAATAGGAAGAAAATGTCTAAAGGAGTAGGAAAAGTGGGAGGGATATGGGAAAGGAAAGAAGGGAAAAGAAAAAAATGAGAAAAGGAAAAACCATGGAAACAAAGTCATTGTAAATAGGGGTGAAGGGAGGGCAGGGGAATGGGAAAAAAATAAAAACCAAGATACATCATGTAAAGGTACAAGACCCTAATGATGAACGTGACTGTATTGTATACCTGAAATGTACCAATAAACAATGTAAAAAATATTCCTTTCAAAGTGAAAGAAAATATTTTCAACTCCCATCCCCTCTACCTCCTTTTGTACTTGTTGGCAAAACCCCAATACTGGATTATACCCAACCCCTACCACATAGTTAGAGTTCAGTTGGTGAGATCTTCATCTTTTTGAAAGAGAAGCTAGAAACACTGAGTTGTATATGAAATCTCCCTGTCCTGAAACTACATGTTGGTAACCTACTGCTCTGGGTGTAGAATAAATATCTTGAGGCACAGGTAACATACTTTCAGCTTACTACCACTGTTTTAATGGCTTTCCGTTGTACTTTAGTAATATCAAAAGTTTTAGGCTCAGCCAGGTGCAATGACACATGCCAGTAATCCCAGATGGATGGCAAGTTAGAGGTCAGCCTGGGGATTCAGCAAGAGTCAAGATCTTTGTAAGGGCTGGGGATGTAGTTCAGTGGTAGAGCGCTCCTGTGTTCATTCGCACACACTATAAAAATAAACAAAAAAACATATATTTCCCTCCAGGATCTATGTCCAAACTCATCTTTCCTTCTCCCTGCTTCATTCATTAGGCTCCAAGCACACTGACCTCACGGTTCATCATACATACCAAGTCCATCCTTCCTTGTTGTACTTACAGCTGCTTCTACTTAGAATACTTTGTTCTCCTTATTTGTAGTCCAACCAGCACCATCACCAAACTGGCTCATTATCTCTCAGGTCTCGGTGGAAACATCATTTCCACTAATACTAAACACTCTTTCAAGTAGCGTCTTACCTTCCATGACACCAAATTTAATTTGTAATTCTAGAATTGCAGCCATCAATTGTGATGTGTCACACAGATTAAGAAAGAACTAGCAGATTCAGAAAATGCAGTTCTGGGTATGTCTGTGGGGTGTTTCCAGGTTTACCAGCAAACCTAGTGGGAAAGAGGACCTTGATTGTGAGTGACACAATTGCAGTAGGCTTGTAGCCTGGGTGGGGTGAAAAGGAAAGAGGAAATTAGTGCAGGCGTTTGAAAAGCTCCATTCTGCTTGGATAAGTGTATCTTTTTTGCAGGCAGGGAGAGTTGGCACTGGGTATTGAACTCGGGGCCTTCACACTGAGCTACATCCCCAGCCCCTTTTATTTTATTTTTTATTTTAAGGCAAGATCTCACTAAGTCACCCAGGCTGGGCTCATACTTGCAATCTTCCTGCCTCAGTCTCCCGGAGTTGTGGGATTACAGATGAATGCCACCACACCTGCGTGCAGGTATGTATTTTGCTATTGCACCTGTGAATAGCAGACTCCAGTTTCTTTGGACTTTCAACACTCACATCACACTCACATCAGCAACTCCAGGGAGCTTTTAGGCTTTCAGCATCAGACTGGTGCTTGATCTCTCGTTCTGTAGCTTCCAGCTTCTTGGGTGGAGCCTTGTGGTCTTTCCGTCTCTTACCTTGCAACTTGTCCAATTATAAATACTGTTGCAATACACACTGATAGACCTTTTTATTTCCCTTCCCCACTAGTGTGTAGGAAAAGAACTATGTCTCTGTACCACATCTCCATGTCTATGACTAAATAGCCAGTGCTGAACTTAGTTTCTGATACAAAAGAGAATCTTGTTAAGCATTAGCCAAATGACAAAGATACTCTTCCATTCTCTGCATTTCAGAAATCTCTGCTTATCCTCCCTCCTCCTGTAAGGTAAGTCCATCTCTGTCTTCATCTTATTCTCTTCTGTTCTCTTCCAGATAAATTTAGTCCTGCAGCCACTGGGGAGAGTAGAACTAGCTACATGAATCCATATGAAGGATTAGAGTACAGAAAGGTAACTAAGCAAATAAATATAAGATACAAGATAAATGTGTTTTTGTTTGTAATTCTTCCCTTCTACCTCTGGCAACTCTTTTGTCGCTTTCCTATATGTTTCTTATTCTTTCTTCACTACTGATAACATATATATAGTACATCGTATCTCTCTCTTGGACACAGCCTCCTAAAAACTGGTTAATCTAGTCATCATAATTCCAGGCCAACTAAGGGGCTGCTTTCTGTCAGGAGCTCACCTCTCTGGCACTGTTAGTGAGGGGCATTGTGACAAGGTTACATGGCCAAGAACATGGCAACTTCGTTTTAAGGGTGGGAAGCTAGAGTTGATTTACTCAGCCTTGAAATCTGAGGATGGCAATTGCCTTAGAAGGGGTACGACAACCCACATAGAAGATAAAACCTCCTCTGGGGCATACTCATGAGCAAAATAAATATTTGTCTCCTCAATTCTCTCACTGCCATTCTTTGTTGACTAATAATGACTCTCAAAAGGAGAAAGATATGTAAAGGAATTTGTTCTATAGTGCACAGTTTGCAAAAAAGATGTTTGTTGACTCAGAGTAAGATACAAAGACTACAAGAAATTCTCCAATATAACAAAGATAATGTAGAGATATATTCCTGTACTGTGGTTACATATCATCAATGTCAGATTGAAATATTCTTACAGGATTACACTATTTATAGTCCATGTCTTTGCCATTCTACTTTATTAAGTAACAAGCCTAATTTGGAAAACTCTGAAATGTTTCCGTCGAGGCTATCTCAACATAACATTTATTAAATGTACGTGCACAACTTGCTTTCACTTCAGGGCAATAATCTGACATTTAAGTCTAAGTAAGGAATTTCTAACAGATCATTACAAGTTGTTTTAGCCTTTATAGTAGGCACATTTATTTTAGTGAATTCTTATTGGCTAAGAACAGAAATGCTTTTTTGTTTGTTTGTTTCAAATAAGAGAAGTAGTACTACAAGGATTGATGTGTAGGATAGGAATAAGAGAAAGAAACCTCACAAAATTATCATACTAGGAAGTTTAGCAAACAGGGGCTCAGACATGAGGAAATGGCCACAGTGCAGCTCTAAGCATCACATCACCAGGGATTTATGGCTTTATGCTAATGCTTTCCTACCAACATGGCCTTGATTTTCTCTTCTTGTTCAGATTTTGCTTCTCCCTTTCCTTCCTACTACAAAATTAGCTCCCTTTCCTTTCTACTACTAAGCTGTCCATATAATTTAAGATCAAAACTAGAACTTTTCTGAGTATGAAAAGGGATGTTATTAACTTCACTGAGAAACTAGATGTGGTGGCATACATTTGCAATCCCAGTAATCTAGGAAGCAGAGGCAGGAGGACCTCAAATTCAAACCCAGCCTGAGCAACTGAGTGACTTTACAGAGACCCTGTTTCAAAATGGAAAAATATAAAAAGGACTGGGGATGTAGCTCAGTGTGAAGGGCCTGGGTTCAAGCCCTAGCACTACAGAAATAATAATAATAATAATAATAATAATAATAATAATAATAATAATAATGAA